TATGATCAGGCAGGGACCACTGATTATGCTGGATGGATGTATGTATGGCTTGTGATGAGTTGTACAAGCCCCCAACAAAATGATTTTTTTTTTAATTTGATTGTGGTGATTGAAACTATAATATAGTAAGATAGCTGGTCATTTGCTCTCCCCCTTGACCCATTCTGGACTTACTTTCCCCTTTTGGTTTTGTTTACCTCACAAAGATTGTTTTTCCCTATGGCTTACTTTAATATTGTCAGTGATCACACACACTGTCATTGAGTCAGTGCTGACTCTGAGTGACCCCCTGTGAGTTTCTAAAACTTACTTTAAACTGCAATACAAGGTCCAGTCTTTCTCCCACCAAGCTGCTGGTGTGTTGTTGTTTTTAAACAGCTGACTATGTGGATCACAGCCTAATATGTAATCAGTACACCATCAGGGATGGATGGATATAATACAGTTTTCAGTGTTTGAGTGTTTTGGTATATTTCCAAATTTATGAAGCCCAGAAGGGACCGATAAAGAGAAATAATTGATGGAATGGTTTATCAGGGATAGGGAAGTATTGAAAGGAATTGGGGAGCAAACAATGAATGCAGGAGAGGTGGGTGCACTAATACTGGCAGTATGATACTATGCTAGGCCACCTAAATCAATTATCTCAAAGGTGGAAGAAATGTTGCAACATGGAAGCAAAAAAAGAAGAAAACAAAAATCAGTCCTTAGAATTAAAGCATTTTTTTTAAAGTAGTAGCACTTATTAAAAAAAAAAAAGGAAAGGAAACATACATTTGAATGCAAAGACATATTGACCCAAATCAGGAGCTTCCAACTAGACCAGAGAGTGCAAGGAAATCATAATACAATCATTTGATTGGTTACTCTTTAGCTGAGGTCACAAGAAAGGTGGGTTAGGTTTGGGGACTCGGCTTCCATTAGACAATCAGGTAGGTAGGCTTGCAGTGATTGGGTTCAAGGACTGGTTTTCATTATAGACACATCTTTCAGGAGAGACCATAAGCATCACTGGTTAATGTGAAATAGCTCTAACCAGAGGTCAGCAACTTAGACCCATTCTAGTATCAGTACCTCCTTTCCCAGGAAGTGCTTATTAAAACATAATCCTTTTGGTTCTTCAGGACCCTT